TTGCATAAAATGATCAAATTGTTCTTGGTTTAGGTACAGGAATAAGAGGCTTATTTGGGCAAGCTCCGCTTATGTGGGATTGGCTGCACCTGGAAATGCAGGATCATGGCAAAAGGAAAGCAAGGTAATTTGTGACACCAAATCCGTTCAGTAACGTTGTTGTTTTTCGGGTATTGTTTGTTTACCCGAAAAACAAAAACATGTATGTCTAAGGTGATAACCTTACCTTTTTTTTTTTCTCCAGGGTTATCAGTTCTGGACTCAAGCCAACAAACAAGGTTATTTCCTCATTAAAGATGTTCGACCTGGGAACTATAGCTTGTATGCAACTGTTCCTGGCTTTATTGGGGATTACAAATATGAGGCTAATATTATAATTGAACCAGGTAAGTTATCTATTGACATCTTTCATTGCCTTAAATTGGAAAGAAAAGAACGAACAAATATCTGTACCATGAAAACCAATTTTAACATTACTGAGTTTTAATTATATGCAGGAAGTGAAATTAAGTTGGCTGATCTTACTTACGAACCTCCAAGAAATGGCCCCACCCTGTGGGAAATCGGCATCCCGGATCGATCAGCTGCTGAGTTCAACGTACCAGATCCGTCTCCAACCCTTATGAACCAATTGTACACCAATCACACAGAGAAGTTAGTTCTCATATAAGCCCTCCTAATTCTTTTTAATTAGAGGGTCATGTTCTTTTGTGAGATAGTTTGACACACTCTTATCAAATTGTCAATTTGGATCGCACATTATAATTAATCTCGGGCAGTCAAACTGTCTAATAAAAGAACATTTCCTTAAACTTCAAATAGAAACTAAGCTATTTGTTTATACGCTTAACACATTGCATTGCTTACAGGTTTAGGCAATACGGCTTGTGGGAACGATACTCAGATTTATACCCTAACCATGATCTCATCTACACCGTTGGTACTGACAATTACCCTGACGATTGGTTCTTCGCTCATGTGACCAGGTACTTGTTTTTCCTTGGACATAACAATGCCTCTGCTTTATTAAATTTGTAGGTCCTGTTTCTCAAAATCTAGCACTACTACAGGAACACAGGAAATCAAACGTATGAACCGACCACATGGCAAATTCGATTTCAACTTAATAAGGGGGCGAATCCGGGAAGTTATACACTGCAATTGGCATTGGCCTCAGCCACTAATGCAGAAGTGCAGGTATTGCTTGAATCCCAGAAAATGCTAATACAAGGTGCAAGTGATATAGTGTTGTAGTATAGTTTTTGGCTAATTTTTTGTTTGACATTGTGTTCTTAGGTTCGGGTTAACGATTGGAGCGCAAACCCACCTCATTTTACAACAGGGCTAATTGGGAAGGACAATGCCATAGCAAGACATGGAATTCATGGTTTGTACTGGTTGTTCAGTGTTGGTCTACAGAGCGATCGGCTACAAGAAGGAAACAACACCATCTATCTTACTCAGTCAAGACACAAGACAACCTTCGACGGCGTCATGTATGACTATCTGCGATTAGAAGGACCTCCTCAAGAGTGATGCATCGGTTATACTTCCAATAGACAGGTAGTGACATATAGAGGTTTCTTTCACAGCAAATTATACATTCATTTACCCTGATGTAGATAGTGTAAACAGGCCTCAACTACAGCAACTAATCATACGAAAATCAATCCCATTCATAATTTTTTTGTTTCTGGTCACAATAAGCTTAGAAGCTAGGCAAAAGTCATTCCATTCCTTGTATGTTTAATAAGGAATTCATGTTATTGATACTAATGGTGTATATTTAATAAAAGGGTTTTTTATGTCTCCACTACTTTATTTCTTTCAAACATGACACTGCACAATACTACCAAACATTCTTCTGTATCCTCCAACTTTTCATTTGAACTTACTCATCAGACAGGGAAAGCAACAAAACCAGAATGAAAGAAACAAAACAGAGAGTACAAAAAATAAGCTTTGAATCAATTCTCTGTTATTCATATTCAACCATCTGTTTGATACAAGTCCTGAAACTGATTATCATAGGTAAACAAATAGATTAAAGAAAGGTGACTTTACTAATCTCAATTTATCAGGTCCAGTTGTTAAAAAGAAATACTAACAGTCCTTACCTCCTAAATTATCCTGAACGGGACTTAATCTTAACAAAATTATGGTTGGATATGCATATAACTTGTCATATAATTTTGGTATAATTTTGTTTTGGTCAGAAAGATGCCGGCCATCGAGAACGCACAACCTTTTGGCATTCCCATCTCTGTCTACATGCCTTTGAACCCAAACTTGTGGTTTCAGCCCTGTATCAACTCGTTTTCTACCAGCTTTTCCTGCTTCAATGGTACGATGAACTTGTATTCGAAAGTCACGAAACAAAATTTCGAAGCACGCAAGGGCATTTCTCAAACTTTGGCGGATCAATTACAGTTTTCCTGCAGATATACGTACAAGCCAGATCGGCTGCATGGACTCTCACATAAGTATTTTGGTAATTTTACTTTGTCTCCAAGATAACAATGTTGAAGGGAAATGTGGAGAAGATTTTGGGGAAGTGTAGAAGGGGAGAAATGAGCCGAAGCAGGAGGGAGAGATAGAAAAGAAGGTTCCTCGGCTTGTACTACAATTAGCTTGGTAAAAATGAGTACCATCAATGCCACAAGTTTCCACGTTGTTAAAACAAATTATATATGTCTATGTCGTTTGTATAAAGTTTTCCTCACTCTGAAACTATGTTGTATTTTTTAAGGAAACGTTTTTGTCAAATTTATGTTATTATACTCGTTAACTCTGTTCCGACCAAATGTATTCCGACAAAAATCAAACTAATGAATGATTCATATTCATAATCTTACTTTACTAACTAATTGAAGGTTGTCTTGTCTTTCATGTGCATCACAAGCTTTTTCTTGGGATTTATCTGATCTTCCCGACTTCCATTTTTTTTTTTTAATAAATATAATTTTTTTTGTGTGTGTGTTGATAGGTTCTTATTTCTCATGAGAGGTTATGGTCTTCTTTGTTCCCCCTCACCCAACTATGTGTACCCCTTTATTTTATATTTAATAAATTTCTCACCTATTGTTAATGTTATCTAAATAATAAAAAATTCAGTTTTGCAATATAATATCTTATTTTCCATATAGTCTGTCCAAAGGTTTCAAAAGACATAATAAATTTTAGGTTTTATAATTGTTGGAGACGTATAAAGGCTCAATATGAGTTGGTATTAAGCTATTGCTCACAACGAATAGCATTAATTATCACAACACATGTTTTTTTTAAAAAAAAAAAATACAAGCAAAGGGATTTCTCACACACACACTACCAAAATGTCACAGATGTTCAAATATGAGATCACTAATATTTAAGTCAATGCCCTTGGCTATCACCACAAAAGTTTGTGATTTTGAAATGCGGTACTATACATGGCAAAGTTTTGTTATTTATGCACAATTGCTTGATAATTCAAAAGGTCAAATCAAATATAACAAGTATTTTAACGCTTGGTCCAAATTCAATTTGTTATCAATAAGGGCCCGTTTAATTCCTTTTCCATGTTTAGTAACCAAGAAATATCACCTTATTTTCTTTCATATGTTTGGTTTGTGTAGGAATGTAAAACAAAGTTTGTTTAATTTTTCAATTATACCCATATAAACTAAAATAAAAAAAAAGAATGCATTTAATGTTGTATTGTAATTCTGAATTGTTAATAGGGACAATATGGTTCATCATTTATAGCCCATGGGTTTCATTTAGAGAGTTTTTTTACTTCTGTCGACATTTTTTTCGCAAGGAATGTTACCATAATTGTAGATGATACAAAAGGATTCAACCCAAATCCTACTCTCGATTCATTTTTTATAATGAAGTCATTGATGGCATATTAACGGAAGATAAATTAAAGATGGAGAAAATCACTATCTATGTTAAACTAAAGATTGATTATGATTTGTAAAGTTATGAATGATTGTATTATGATTGAAGGATCTAAAACTAGGAAGTTTATATGTTAATGACTAAAAAATCCAATTTCGAGTATAAAAAAAGAGATTAAAAAAGCCCATTACAACACGACCCGGTTGGACTATTAAAGCCTAGCCGAGGGCGGGCCTAAGTATTGAAATTTTGGAAAAATGACAGCCCAGCCCGTTAATTTCATTTTGTTAATTGAAGCTCAGCTCGACCCAACCCATTGACAAGGCCTAAAATACAACTACAATCAGCTTTCATTTTAGTTCAGTAGGCCACACATCAGCGAATAGGTATTACTCAGCGCGTGTAGGACGCTTGAACCAAATGGTCCATTCCTCTCTCTCCTCCTTTTCCAGCTCTGGGGCCCGCCAACATAAGATGTAAAATTATATGTAAATTTTCATTATTTTTCCCATCCCACTTCACAACGGAGAGATTATAGAATAGTACAGTAGTGCTGTCGCGTGAAATACTTTGTTCATGTATTATAATATAAGTGGATATTTATTGATATTATTCTCTGAAAGGGAAAAATATCAACCCTGTTGTCGACGCATATTATGACACATGTACAAGTTATACCACATAACCGTGCTATTCTATGATTTCTATGCACTATAGTTGACCTAAATGAATCTACATCAATATATGCCTCTGCATTGGAGAGGTTTTCGGCCAAAAAAAATGTAAATTTGGTTTACATCCTCTTATACACCTTTGCATTGGAGATGCTCTAATAAGCACCTTTGCATTTGGCACCAGTACGAATCTCTCTGTAATGCTATCAATGAGAATTCTAGAGTCCCTCCATTCGCAGCCCAAAGAAAAATATAAATTATGCTGAGGATTTATTAAAAACATTTGTTGTTAAGTATTTTCCTATGTGAGAGAGACTATCATTGGTTATTATGCATATTTAATGCCTATATGAAGAAGAGGCCCGCCCGATAAGTTGGCAAGTTCCACTCACCTTCGGCCTTGTTCCCAAGGAGAGTGTCACCACACCCTTATCATTGGTCGGAATGAATGAGATGCTTCGTCAAACTCTTTCTTTTTCGGCAAGTCTAATAGAATTATTAACAAGTTTCGGGTCGGGTACAAATTTAGCTAGCTTCTACCAAAAGACGCATATTCGTTGAATGTGTATATGTCACTTCATGATCAAACAATTTCACTAGCAGCTACACCTCACCCATCACGTCAGCCAACACAGACAGAATACTATATATACCAAGGCTTTTGGTGGTGATGTTTTCATAAACATTCCTGCGCCTTATTGTGTCCAAGTTTTTGAAGCATTACCATTACTTGTTTCTTAGTCTGTTATCGTTGTTGTTGTAATTATTTGGTACACATTGAATTTTGATTATAGGCTGCCATGGGCACGTTTGATGGCATCATTGACACAGTCTCTGCTGTGCATGCAATTTCACCCTTGATTGACCTTTTGAAGTCTCATGGGAAGCTTATTATGGTGGGTGCACCGGATAAGCCACTTGAGTTACCCGTCTACCATTTACTCATGGGTACGTTTGCCATTTTATGCATTGTATTTCATGGAAAAAATTATAACAATCTTATCAAATTTTACTTAGAGCCTAACATATTTAAATATGTGAATATGTAGGAAGGAAATTGGTGGCCAGTAATGCAGTTGGGGGTATGAAGGAGACACCAGAGATGATTGATTTTACAGCAAAACACAACATAACGGCAGAGATTGAGGTTATTTCAATGGATTACGTGAACACAGCAATGAAACGTCTTGCTAAAAACGATGTTAGATACCGATTTGTCATTGACGTTGGAAACACTCTAGCTGCTACCAAGCCATGAAGACTTGTATACTTCAATTTCAAGTCTCAATGTTTCATTGATATTGTATGTTGTTGGAAGTATATTTAAGAGAATTATAAAACAAATAAAACTATGTTTTAATACATGTACATTTTATTTGTGTCATTCTGGTCAATGCCTCCCACAAGCAAGAAGCGCAAATGGAAATGTAAAAGTGACTTTTACACCTTTAAATATACATCTTGCATTATGGACGTGATTTTGGCCAAGTCAATAGGACTCAAAACTTTTGAAAAAAAAAAAAAAAAGAGAGAGGACTCGAAACAACTCGAAAGAACACGTGTAAATATATATATATATATATATTATTTTTTCGGTTATAAAAATGATAGTTAGTGGGTTACCATTCCGAGTCGGAGCACTGTTTAAGGAAAGCTTTCTCCAGAAGGATCTTTACAGGACTCGAACCCTCGAGCCCTCCAAGGATGGTGCTCAAAGGCATTACCGAACGTGGACCTAGTCAGCTTTCATCAACTACACTTGGGTAACACGTGGAAATATTTTGTTAATCACTTCACCCAACTAAAGTGGAAACACTGTTGACCAAAGAAAAAAAAAAAGAAGTGGAATGGAAACACTAATATCATGCCTGCGGGCCCTACCACCCACTTTCAGTCTATTTATATCCAAACTTCGAGCTTTTCATGATCACTCAACATACTTTGTCTTCAGAGATTCGACACACTTGGGCTTCTCAGTGTGTCGAAAATGGCAAAGTCCCCTGAAGAAGAGCATCCTGTGAAGGCCTTTGGCTGGGCTGCCAGAGACACATCTGGACATCTCTCTCCCTTTAACTTCTCCAGAAGGTATATATTCATCTAATTTATTTTCAGATTTTTAATTTATATATATAGTTTTTCCCCAATTTGTGTTTCCACATAATTTCTGTCGATATACATATACACAGAGCAACAGGCGACGAGGATGTGAGGTTGAAGGTGTTGTATTGTGGGATTTGCCACTCCGACCTTCATAGCATCAAGAATGAATGGGGCTTCTCTGTGTACCCTATGGTTCCGGGGTACGTACTATTTATTATCCTCCTTTTGTATTTTCTTTTATTTTCTTCTCTGTTAATAAACATGTAAAAAGTAATTCATTCTTGTATATATATAAATTAAAGTTACATATGTGTGCAAAACTTTTTCTTTTTGTAATTTTAATAAACTATTTATACATATTATATCAAACCGTGATTCGTCTGCAACGAAGAGTAATTTTTTTTCACCCACGCAGTACTGTTCATGAAGTTATACAATCCATTTATTTTCATCTTTTACATTTGCTATCATATTTTATAAAAAAATGAACATGAGAAAGTGGCGATGATATTTTATTATAAAAAGTAAGTAAGTCATTAACTTGTTGGAGAAAGTGTGTATAGTTTACCCATCTATTTGTCTATTTCCTTTGAGCATATGATTGCTGATTTGACAAGGTTTGACTACCTTTCGCCTCATCCCTGGAGATGCTGAACACGAATACACAATCTCAGCCAGTAGCAATATTTGGCTTAGTGGAAACGACAAGATTGAGAGTGTGAACTTTAACTATTATTTTTTTGACACCTTTATCTTGGTACTAGTGTGATGTCATGCTTATTTTTGGACTTATGCATGTATTGATGTCGTTTAGGTACAGCCTTTTGCTGAGTTTTTAAACATTTTAGGATTATTTCTTTTTCTAAGATAGTTAGCATTTGGATACTTCTGTATAATTTTGGTAAGAAAAGTAGAGGTGATCAGAATTAGCAATTCCTACTTTTGTAGAGAGATATCACATATGTAGTACATGAAGGAAAAAAATCATAGTGTCTCCAGGAATCTATGGACAAATATTATAACTTGACGACGTTAATCTCCCACCATAATTACTCTTTATTTTGCAGTGAGATCCATTTGTAGTTTCGTTTTTTCAATACAGTACGAGTATTACCAGACCCCATTGGAATTTAAATTGGCTAATTTGCAGGCACGAGATTGTTGGGGAAGTGACAGAAGTGGGAAGCAAAGTGAAGAAAGTGAAAGTGGGAGATAAAGTTGGTGTGGGTTGTATGGTTGGTGCTTGCCATGCCTGCGACAACTGCAACAATGACCTTGAAAACTACTGCCCCAAAATGGTACTTACCTACGGTTCCGTTTACACCGATGGAACACTCACATATGGAGGCTACTCAGATTCGATGGTCGCCAACGAGCACTACATCGTGCGTTTCCCTGAGAATATGCCACTGGATGCTGGTGCTCCTCTACTTTGTGCTGGGATCACAGTTTATAGTCCCTTGAAATATTTTGGCTTGGCAGAGCCAGGTAAGCATGTTGGCATTGTAGGGCTTGGTGGGCTTGGGCATGTGGGTGTCAAATTTGCAAAGGCACTTGGGGCAAAAGTGACTGTGATTAGTACTTCCCCTAGCAAGAAAGATGAAGCTTTGAATCAACTTGGTGCTCATTCATTCTTGGTTAGCAGCGACCAGGACCAAATGCAGGTTAAATTTTCTAGCCAGTTTATGATATGTTTCCCTTTGTTGTTCTTCCTGCTTTTAAGTTTGAGAGATCGGATTAATTTTCATTAATGTATTTAATCAGAGGAATTAGGAATATAGCACATGCATAAATTTATATGCCTAATCCTATATATTGGGGTTTTCAATTGCAGGCTGCCATGGGCACATTGGATGGCATCATTGACACGGTCTCTGCTGTGCATCCCATTGTGCCATTGATTGGTCTTTTGAAGTCTCATGGGAAGCTTATTCTACTAGGTGCACCAGAAAAGCCACTTGAGCTCGCTGTGTTTCCTTTAATCGTGGGTAAGCATGTATGTATGTATGTATCTTGTCAATTATTTTGATCTAGACACTCTAGAACCTAAAATCAAAATGTGAATACAGGAAGGAAGGTGCTGGCGGGTAGTGGAATTGGAGGCATGAAGGAGACACAGGAGATGATTGATTTCGCCGCAAAACACAACATAACGGCAGATATTGAGGTAATTTCAATGGAGTATGTGAATACAGCAATGGAGCGTCTTGCTAAGAACGATGTTAGATACCGATTTGTAATCGATGTTGGGAACACCCTGGCTGCTACCAAGTCTTGAAGATTAGGCAGGAGAAGAATGAGAATTCATCATCCAAGTGCTTGGAGTTATTATGCATTGCAGGGTTTGTTTCGTCGGTGTTTAATTTGATATCTCAAATAAGAACTCAAGTGCCAAAAACATTACTTGAATGTAAAACCAGTCACGTTGGCTGGGGATAACATCATAATTAAGTTCATAACCCAACGACCTTCACTTAGCGTAAAAAATCCTCCACCAAAAGATTATTTTTAACCATACCAACCACTTAAAAAAATACCAAATAACTGTACGACTTACGCACTCAGAAACTACTACTTTTTTGGTTGGTCAGACACCCAAAACTATTATTTAAGAAAGTATTATTGCAACTTATATTGTTCAATATATAGTAGTATATTTAGTAACGTTGCATGATATGTTATTGAATTATTCCAGCCAGGTGAGGTCGTGACACGTCTAATGTTTTATTATAATCGCTAGTCTTCTTCTTTTTTTTTTTAAATTAATCGGAATGGATGGTATAGTCAAAAATAAATATGAATAGACACTTTGTCATTTTGGCTCTTGTAGAGAATAATGAAGTACCTACCGTCATTGAATCCCGGACCAATAGGACGCGGTACCACAAGGGCCGGTAGAATGTCGCTATTTTTATTTTATTTTATGAGTGATATTGGGGGAGAGGGTTCGAACACTGGACATGAGCTATAAGGGTAAAATGTTGTTATCCAAAATAATATGAGCTTGTTTGGAAGTGTTCCTAGAAAGGCTTTATGACAACCGAAAGCGTTTCTGACAATGTTTGGAAAAAAAAAAATTAGAAGTGCTTATTGGTCATATAAGCACTTTGTGGAGAAGCACTATTAAGTACTTTTGGATGTCTTATATATAAAAATTTCAACGTTTTTATAATAAAAATAGTTTTTTTTATATTGAAATGCTTACGAGTAAAAGTGGTTTCTAGAGAAGTCAAACCAAACCAACCCAACTTTTAATTTTAGTTGAATTTTTTTGGAATTCTAAAGATATAATTTCAAGAGTAATCATCAAAAGATTAAATAGTCTTCTCTTTCCTTTACTGTTTTTTTTGTTGGATGATGACGTGCAACTACCGTATATATTTGAAATTTCCAGCTCTTACGTTGTACTTGTTATAAACAGGTCACCCAGGCAAGTGGACAACCCCTCTTTCTCACTATTTATACGTACCAAAGCTTTTAGTTATAATTCGTAAAGCAAACCAAGTCTCCACCTTATAGTCAAGTAACTCTCCTTACTAGTTTCTCTGTGCAACAAAAATGGCAAAGGCCCCAGAACAAGAGCATCCTGTTATAGCATTTGGCTGGGCTGCCAGAGACAGCACATCGGGGCATCTCTCTCCCTTTAACTTCTCCAGAAGGTGATAACTTGTTTTCAAATCCAGAAACAAAGGGGGCTTTATTTTTCAGATTTTTTTTTAGTACAAGCGATAGTCTAAAGTACAGAGAAGGAGGTTTTACACACACACACACACTACCACAGTGCCATGGGGGTTCGAATTTGAGACTATTAGTCTGTATATCAAGGCCATTTTCAATCATCACAAGGAGACAATATAACGGTATATAATCAAATAGAAGATCACTATTCTCTCTTTGTTGTATGCCTGTGATGACATGTATTGCTCTTTCTTTCCCTTATAATAGTAATAATATCTGAATGTTATGATTTATAGTATATATATATATATATATATATATGCAGGGCAACAGGTGATGAGGACGTGCGGTTTAAGGTGTTGTTCTGTGGCATATGCCACTCTGACCTTCACAGCATCAAGAATGATTGGGGCTTCTCTGTATACCCTATAGTTCCTGGGTAAGTATAATATCAAACTTTGATTATCTTCTCTTTACTTTATTTTTTGGTATAATGGATAGTTGTGTTCCATAAAAATAATATTTATTATCTGATTTTTTTTATTTTTTATTTTTTTAAACATGAAAAAGTATGAATTTACCATATTATCCTCATTTAATTAATAATTTCAATTCTTAATGTTTGCTAACCAAGGCATTTTCTAGTATTTTGAATGTTTTACAATTCTCTACCTTTTGCTTTATATATATAGATATTATTACTTACATTTCATATGGATATATTATTAAGTGATTTCTAGTTGTGCCCTAGGACTTCCACCAAATTTTACATTCCACATATGAAATATATTGAATAAAATAATACGTAAAAAAATATAAGTCTAAAACAAAAATTTTGTATTGCATGTTGCTCTAGTATAACATAGTTTCTAATTTTTTTTTCTCCTTCAAAAATTATTTTCTTCTTGCTATTTTAATAACGGGGTGGGGATGAGGAACTCTTGGTTTTAATATTAAATGTACGAAGGCGGAAATGAGATTTTTTTTTTTTTTCTTCAAGAGAGTGGGTATAGGAACGTTATATGACATATTTGCACTATCTATTTTAGAGAACGGGTCATGCTAGGAAGACCATCTTTAGACATCACCTTGTGTATCATCTCTCTAATAGAGGTGGAACCCACCAATACACTGGGTCCCACCTCTATTAGAGAGAGAGATGGTACACAACTTGGTATCCCTATTTATTAGAGAACAGATTGGTTTTGGGCTATTTTACTAGGAACTCCGAAAACATATATATTTGATAAGATTAGCATCTATGACAGTATGGATTAAAAACATCTAAACTCTTGCGATCTCCAGGATAAGTAAAAACGCAAAACAAAACAAAAAGAAAAGTAATTTAACATGGATGGCTGCATGCAGGCACGAGATTGTGGGTGAAGTGACAGAAGTGGGAAGCAAGGTGAAGAAAGTAAAAGTGGGAGAAAAAGTGGGCGTAGGTGTGATGGTTGGTGCTTGCCATTCATGCGAGAACTGCAACAACCACCTTGAAAATTACTGCCCCAAAATCATACTTACCTACGGCGCCATTTACCACGACGGAACAATAACTTATGGAGGCTACTCAGACACAATGGTTGCCAGTGAGCGTTACATTGTACGCTTCCCTGAGAACATGCCACTGGATGCTGGGGCTCCTCTGCTTTGTGCTGGGATCACAGTCTATAGCCCCTTGAAATATTTTGGGTTAGGAGAACCTGGGAAGCATGTTGGCATTGTAGGCCTTGGCGGGCTTGGTCATGTTGGAGTGAAATTTGCCAAGGCGCTTGGGGCAAAGGTGACTGTGATTAGTACCTCCCTTAGCAAGAAAGATGAAGCTTTGAACCATTTGGGTGCTGATGAGTTTTTAGTTAGCCGTGACCAGGATCAAATGCAGGTTAACAATTATTTTTCTAGCCCATTTGTAATATATATGTTTTGGTATTGTTTAGGATCTTTAATTAGTTGTAATTGTTCGGTACAAATATATTTTGGGTTTCAATTGCAGGCTGCCATGGGCACATTTGATGGCATCATTGACACAGTTTCTGCTGTGCATCCGATTGTTCCCCTGATTGGCCTTTTGAAGTCACATGGGAAGCTCATTCTGGTGGGTGCACCAGAAAAGCCACTTGAGCTGCCTGTGTTTCCATTAATCATGGGTAAGCATAAAACCCCAGGATATATATATGTAATTTGACGTGTAGGATAATGTTTTCTTGTTAAACTATAAATTTGGGCGACATGTTTCGACAAAAATCAACATGATCAATATAAGCACATGATGTTTCCACATAATCTGTAAAGATAATTTTTCTTATTAATGTCTTATTAAAACTATTACAAACATGTGAGTGCAGGAAGGAAGATAGTGGCAGGTAGTGGAATTGGAGGGACTAAGGAAACTCAGGAGATGATTGATTTCGCAGCAAAACACAACATAACAGCAGAAATTGAGCTTATCTCAATGGATTATCTCAATACAGCATTGGATCGTCTCGCAAAAAACGATGTTAGATACCGATTTGTGATTGACATTGGAAACACTTTGGCTGCTACCAAGCCTTGAAGACTTCGTAAGGAGACTATTAAACGGAATGGTATATTACTGAATTAATGCGAATAATTAGTTGGGCTAAACGCCTTTATGGAATATTGCCTTCTTTATTTTGTCAGTATTTGATCTGACACATTGTCAACTATCGATTTCCTTGTAAAAAATATATCTCGAATAAAATATTAAACGCTAAATCATTGTAGAAAATATATATATATATATATATATCTTTCTTTTTTCCCAAGCGTACATGTGCCCAAATTCAGCAGCACCAATATAGCCAATCAAGATAAGCTAACCCGGTTCTGATCATCTCTGGACGGAACGAGCACCAAATCCTGGATATGTAGGCATCCGCTATTTGAGGTGCTTTCGGCTGTGATATGGGTGTGATGGAGTCTTTAGTTCAAGTACATTGCACCAGCAGTCAGAGGATGAAGGCTGCTCTCCAACCCCTTTTAGATACTATTATATCTCGTATGCATTTGCATGTCAAAAGCTTGCCATAAAATGGAGAGTGAAAGAGATAAGAGGGCATGCTGGAGCTAGGATTAAAGAAACTAATTACAGATATTAAAATAGGAGAAAAATAAAGGGCCAGGAAAATAATGAAATATAGATCTGGTATGAATAGAATAGTCTTTGTTAGTTTCAGGAACACTTATCTCCCCCAGTTTTGAGAGTCGATTGCAATTTCCCACCCATAATGGGTGTTTCTTTGAGCTCTATCTCGGTAGTCCATGGCTTTATGCCCTTTCTTTTATGTTGTTTCTGTTTTCTCCTTCGTCTCCAACCCCTTTTACCTGGATTTCACAGAAATCTCCAACCCTTATAGTGGTTTTTCATCCTCTTTCCCCCCATGGTCCTCATCCCCCAGATCCCCACCACTCTCGCCCATATCACTTGCTCTACTCCTCTCCTTCCTCACTCGTTGCAACCTCAATCCAAGCTTGCAGCTTTTCATCCTCAACACGCAGGGACGGATTCAGGAATTTTCCTTGCAGGGGTCAAACCTCTTTCCATAATCTCTTTGCCAAGAAGTTGAGCAATTCTTCCATTGTCAGTGCATGCAGTCGATGCTACCAATCATTCCTGGAAATCCTCGAGCTTCGGCTTTTAGTAGAAGCCGTTGGAGGTCCCTGGGTGTAGGTTTGCACAGGTAGTCCCTAGTGTACAGAGTTTCAACTGCATCATAAAATCTTACCAAGCTCTCCAAGGTAGTGGACTTCCCCATCCAGGCAATCTCATCCACCTGATCAGCAAATGTACCATATGCCAGCATTCGTATAGCAGCTGTAAGCTTTTGCTAGGGAATAAGTTCCAAAACCCCAGTATCATCATACTTTTGAACAAAGTATTCATCATAATTACAGATATCATGCATGACTTTATTGAAAAAATGGGGTTGCAAATATATCGCCCTCGAAAATGAATATCAGAGTACAGAGAAATTGGGATAAAATAATCTTCCAGAATATTCTTATCCCGAGAATGCCTATGTCTGTCCATATTCGGGCCACGGCTGACTTGTGAACCACGGCGGCGGCCTTGGTTTTCTTCATCAAGCAAAGCTACTGCTATGACAACTTGTTGATCTAGTTCTCTCTGCACCCTTTTGCCTTCAGCTTGTTTACGCATTCTTTCTATTGTTTCTCGCTCCTGCCTCTCCAAGACATTGCTCATGTCTGACATTGAGAATGGAGTATGAATTCTAAAATATGAGAAATGAAAATATAGAGAAGATCTGATGTGAAATGTATGAGCTGAGTCTCTGGTTTTATAGAAAAATTTAGGCAGATAGAGATGACACTTGACTCGATTTTAGATAGTTAAAATCTTATCTGAAATTTGAAATTTGAAATCTATCTAAAATATGAATTTTGAAATTTATTTGAATTTTGAATTTTGAAATTTATTTGAAATTTGAAACTAAAAATCTTATTCGAAAATTTTATCCGATTATGAGATATGAATTTTATAATAATATTGACACATACGAATCCAAAAATCTTATCCGAAAATATTATCCAAATTAATTATTTAGGTAAAAAAAATAAAAAAATGAATAGTATTTGCCTTTATTATAACAAAGAACGAATGGGTGAAAGTGCTCTAACATACGTGGATTATTGGCAGACCTACCATGTTATTAATGTGGCAGCCCACCCTTCAAAAAAAAAACAACCATTATATATAAACAGTATATGACACTTCTTTACCATGCCTGGCCCCAACCGCCCAGTAAATAAATAAATAAAGCATTCAAGCTTCACTGACGTAGCAATCTCACATGGGAGCACTTCTGCCTAAGCTTTGGGTTCCAAAATCAGTGGATAGCCAGTAGTGGTGGCTCCGCCGGTCTCCAGGTCAAGGGTCAACAAAAAATTTATATATTAACTATTTTTATCTTTCAAAAAAGTTCGAATTTTCTTTTTATCACATCAGATCTGACGAATCACACAGAAGGGTACAGAAAATCAGTGGAGCCGCCAGCCAAAAGCACGAGTTCAAATTAGAAGCAATGACACTTGGCCAAAATAGAACAAACTTCTGTTTCTCGAAGTTCAAATAAATTTGGAGTACTAATCAGTCTTCCAATCGTGTAGAAGAGCCGCGTGTTTTTCTAAACGAGTGAATTTCATGAGTCATAAATGGTGGCTTTTTTATTTTCCACATGAGTAAGCAAAACCATTTTTGTAACGTTTTACTTGAGATGCCCATGCCATACACCACTGGCTATATAAACCACAAACTCACTACAACCCTAGCACTTCTCGAAGTTCATTACCTTCTGGTTAGATATCTTTAGTTGGTATTTGTCCTATCAAAGATATATAAGAGAGAAAATGGCGGTCTCTCCAGAACAAGAACACCCCACCAAGGCCTTCGGATGGGCTGCCAGAGATTCATCTGGGGTTCTCTCTCCCTTCAGATTCTCTAGAAGGTTAGTCATTATTTATTCCATCTTCTACATCTCCACGCAATTTTTGTTCAATTTATTTATCGTTTTCTTTTCATCAATCTAGAATTTGTGTGCGTTTCGTTCTTAGGAAATACGATGAAATTCAAGTGAAAAAATGGTAGTTAGATTTTCATCCAATCTAACCCAACTTTAAGATTCCAATCTAATTTCTATAATATTTATAAATAAATAAAGTTGTTCCGATATAGATCCTTACAACTACCATATTCTAGTCATGTATCCACCTACTTTGAGATAGATTTATCCTAGTATTATTAACTAAATTACATTATATGTCACCTACCTTCATATATATAGATCCTCACAACTACCATATTCTAGTCATGTATCCACCTACTTTGAGATAGATTTATCCTAGTATTATTAACTAAATTACATTATATGCCACCTACCTTCATATTTTATTTATAATTTATTTTCAATCATGTCATTAACTTCCTTAATTATAACCAGCCTCTCTGCACCCGCTTCCAGGCCTGCTAGAGGTTTTTTAAAATTAAAAAAGATAATAGGTAGTTGTGTTCCATAAAAATATCATCCATTATCTAATTTTTTCTTTTCATTTTAAAAAGTGTGAATTTACCATATTATCCTTATTTAATTAATATTTTCAATTCTTAATGTTAGCATTAACCAAGAGAATATTTTTGTATTTTGAATGTTTTACCATTCTCTGCATTCTCCTTCATATATATAGATTAATACTCCTTGTTAATAGTATATCAATCACCCCATTTATTTCGGTTGGCATAAAACTTCCCAGTCATAGTGATACCACTGTCAGCAAACCGCGTAAGTGTCCCAAGCCAGTAAAATGTCAACAGCTGGCAACTAATTTTACTTCCATATTTAAATATTAAAAAAATGTTCAGCACCCAGTTTCTCTTCTCTCTCTTCCGCATCCCTCTCTCTCATCCATTAATCTCTCTTTCTCCACTTTAGTCACTCCTCCTCCATCATCATCCACACACCCCTGCATTCCTATTTTTCTCTTCAATCAGTAATCCTTCATTACGCACACTCGGTATTGATCTCTCAGTTTTAATTTTAGTGAGGTATATTTATTGGAGAAATCTGGAAAATTTGTAAATGGTGGAGTTGAGAAATTTTGGGTTGGCTACGGTTTTGTGGGGGAGCAATATACTTTTGGGGAATCTCTTCCTCTTTTTTTCTTCAAATTTTATTATCTATTGGGCAGTTTTGGAAAATTTGGAATGGAAAAAACAGAGAGAAATCAATATATGATGTGTGGGTGTTGAAGAAGTGATTGAAGAGGAAGCAAAGGGTTTAAGTGCTAGATTAACCCTTGAACCAGATGCGTAGGCTACAATCCCCTGAAGGTGGAGGCGAAGACATCGATATGGCGAGGGATCAAGACGATGGAAGAGTGCCAATTTGGGCTTTATTATTGTTTCAACTTCTGAAAGGATTGGGAGGGGTTTGAACTTTGATCCGTGGGTTTTTCTCATTGGGTGGTTAGAAAGCCATAGGAAGAAGATGAAGAGTACATTAAAAACAAAGTTTTCTTTTCAAATCTCTCTGTTAAGTATGGGCCAGGTGGTAAAATATTAAGAAAGTAATTTTTTTTTTTTATAAATTAAAAATAGGTACATTATTACAACATCAAAAAAAGGTTTTTTGGGTCATAAAATAGGTACATTTACAGGTACACAAAATAGTACATTTACAAAAGATATATAAAACACAGGTACGAAAATAGGTATATAATTCATAATAAAAAAAAAAGGGTGGAAAAAATAGGTACAAATAATATGTCATGAGTTTATGCTAAAACGTGATAGGTATATTAAATGTTTCTTCATAAATTCAATAGGCCTAAAACATGAATTTTTTAGATTCTAAATTTGATTAAAAAGGAGAAAAAACTTACCCTAAAAATTTCTAAATTTAAGCCAATTTAAAACATCATTTGAAATTGAATATTATAATGACATTGAATTGTAGCAAATATGTTCAAAGTATATTTAGCACAATCAATGGAGAAAACAACAATTGCAAATACGTAAGGGGTATTTTGGGAATCAGAAAATTATAATAAATGAGATCTTGAGCTTGATAAGGTAACTTGATGATATGAATCCTAGTCCCTGGGTTTTTACTTATTAAAAATGGGTTTTATTAATAAGAACAAAAAGTAATGAGTTGCAGTTAAGGAAATTTTAATTTTAATTTAAATAAAA